TTTGTTGTTTGATTTATCATCTACGGGTTTATGTCGAATTAATTTGATGGCCTGCTCCCAGTTGGCTTGTTAGCTCAACTGGTAGAGCGCTGCACTAGTATCGCAGAGGTCAGTGGTTCGAATCCCGTACAGGCCTGAATTTTTTTCAGGTCTGATTTTCACTATTGCTTAAATAGTGCTTTACTGCGAAGGATCGTGCACATATACGTTAACCTATTTTATTTGCTCTGATTTTCTTACATTTGAGTCGGTAGCTACACTCCGCGTTTATGTTGTTATCGTATTTTCACAGAACAATACTGGCTGCCCTACACTTTAATTACTATATAAAAAGGGAAACAAAAGTAGATGAAGTTGGAAATCCTATTTTCCGAGTGACATTCCCCAAGTTTAAGGATGGAGAGGCCACAGTGAGAGAAGCAAAGGTTTCAGCAAACTATGGAAAGAACAAGAAAGTACTATGAAAATTCTTTAAAAAGTGTACCATAGCCATGTGTTATGGAATGTGTCTAGATCCTTCCATCTCACTAATAACAATGCAAAAAGTCGATACTGTTCCAAGATATATGAAACATCTTAAGCGAGGTATTTTGTTAAAATTCAGATTATGTTACTGACATCTACGACATTCTTACCAAGACAACCAGGGCAGAGCTGAAATTGTAGGAGGAGGAACTGAAAGGGGAGGTTCCAGACCCTATAAACACCATGTTGGACAGAGAAAGCAGGGAAGGCGCCTTATCAAAATACCAGACAAGAAAAGAGAAAACAACGGTTCTTTGCCCTCCAACCTGCCCAGGTAAGCACATGAATTATTAAATGGCATTCGACCCTTGAGTAGTTATCTAAAATAGTTTGCCTTAGAATGTATGGTTTAAATTTCAGAGGATGAAATTCAGATGACATCAGATAATTCAGGGAGACAAACTCGGCAGACATCTAACAGTGGCAGACTACCTCCACACTGCTCTAAATGTGGCAAAAGAAGACTTGGTCACAAAATAGGGCAATGTGACATGACCGAGGACGAATGATCAAATTGTGGAAATTCAAGCCAAGTGAAAAGAAAGAAATGATTAATTAAAACTAATTAAATTCAGGATGAATTACATTGAATTTGTATTACTTGTGTTCCTGAAAATTGGAGCAACATCACAATTCCCAGGCACTAAACTTGAGTTTACTGAACGCTAGAAGTACAGGGCTTCACAGAGTGGGCAATTTTGTCATTCAACAACAAGCGAGTAAGTGGCTGAGAATTGTGAAGTATAGCTCATAGAATAGACCTTTTTCCAAAATGGCCGTCAACTGGTATAAGCTGGGCGAGTGGCACCAAAACGAGGTCATAAGGGCCAAGTTTGCTTGTCCTGTAAACAAAATGCTTGCAGACAAGTATTCAAGCAACTACTGCAGGTCCTTATTGGCCCCAATGACACATGACACTCTTCAAGAGCAAAATGTGCATTTATTATTCATTTTTTTCATCTTCGAATCCACGGTAATGCCCATTTTCACTCGGAAATTGTTTCCTGATTTTATTGTAGGCACAACAGGGTAAGGGGTATCGCCTGGAACTACCAATATAACTCCACAGCAGTCTTGTAAATTGGCGATAGGCCACAGACCTCAGGAATCTAGTGAGGGAAATAACATCACTGTTCATTCAAGGAAGGATTGGATGGAGATAAATAAATAATCCTTTCAAAAATAAGCAGTGGGGCCAATAAAGCCATTTAGAAAATAAAAAATGTGAATCTATGAGATCAATCCAAGGCGATAAGCTTAGATGTATCAATTATTCAATGCTTTGTAGGGTTCGATCGTTCCGATACAAAGTCAACAATACCCCCAACTTACTCATCATCACTTTTGTTGCTTTGCCCACGAACAGTTGTGTACGACTTTCCAGCTCGTNNTATCATCTACGGGTTTATGTCGAATTAATTTGATGGCCTGCTCCCAGTTGGCTTGTTAGCTCAATTGGTAGAGCGCTGCACTAGTATCGCAGAGGTCAGTGGCTCGAATCCCGTACAGGCCTGAATTTTTTTTCAGGTCTGATTTTCACTACTGCTTAAATAGTGCTTTACCGCGAAGGATCGTGCACATGTACGTTTCATAACCGCAGTTCATATATATGTATTTCATATGTTTGTTGTTTGATCTATCATCTACGGGTTTATGTCGAATTAATTTGATGGCCTGCTCCCAGTTGGCTTGTTAGCTCAATTGGTAGAGCGCTGCACTAGTATCGCAGAGGTCAGTGGCTCGAATCCCGTACAGGCCTGAATTTTTTTTCAGGTCTGATTTTCACTACTGCTTAAATAGTGCTTTACCGCGAAGGATCGTGCACATGTACGTTTCATAACCGCAGTTCATATATATGTATTTCATATGTTTGTTGTTTGATAATAGCTGTACTTTATATTCACATTACTAATTAAATGGAGACAGTTTGTGGGTAAAAAATGTGTTAAGTTTGTGGCATCTTATGTAGAATAGAGGCGGGAGTCCATTATAGCCCCATAATACGTGTTTGTCTGAAGTTTAATTTCGGAATAAATTACCATCAAGACTCAAACCTGCAGACATCTGTGATTGTATTATTGTTATTACACACGTAAGATAAAACTCCAACTAAGCGCTATGTTCAATTTCAAAAATACGAGAGATTTTGAAAAGAACTCTAAAATGCGCACGGACATTTGTTTTTCGTCTGTATCCGGGGGATGGTAAACTTGAACCTTGTCTATGTGAGGTGAGAAATTGAACCGGAAGTGTCAAGTCTTCCCTGCGTAAGACGCGTGTTTTAATGGATAAATTTAAAAATAAAGAGTCTGCTTCCGTGAGTGAATGGCTTTAAAATTTTTACAGGCACAAAGACCAATAGCAGCACCAACTTTGCTAAGCTCTACAACATTCAATGAACAGAGAAAGAACCGTTCAATATTGGTTGGGGGAGGGGAGGGCGGGAATTTAAACGAGCCAATCTCCAAAAGTTTAATTCGAAAGCTTCGAATTGATAAACACGAGAGAAACGGTGATGGTCAATTTTACACTATACGCTAACCTACGCGCTGTTTATAGGTAATGATAAGATCTCTAAAATTCTTAAGCATTATGGACAGATGGACGTTTCTATTATAACAAAACAAATGAAAGTTTAAAACTGGCGTTGTGACTTGACTCGTTTGACAATATGACGCTAAAGTCAAGCGCTTTCATTCAGAAAGAACAAAAAATCAAGATTGTTATATTTAAAATTCCAAAAGCTCTCCTTTTTTACACCTTACTTTGGTGTAAGACAAGAGAGTAAAATCAAACATCTCGTTCCTTTCTGTACCATGCGCGCATATCTTTTGTTTTGTTTAATTAGGTGCTGTCGTATTCAGGATAAGAGGCACTATTTCTTCCATATGGAAATAAACAATACGAACGACAGCTTATGCGACGATTTCGTTGAGTCTCTCATTTTTTCCTTCTGATAAAATATCCTACGAGCTTCTTAGAAAAACCCATTACTTTAAAGGTCAGCTTTAAAGTATCTAAATACGACTACAGCGCAAAAAAAATCCATTCGCTTCCAGGTCCTACAATTGTCTTGCTAATGGTACAAAAACAGATGGTAGACATGCAACATTTATTTTTAATCAATGAATAAAGGCTGATAGTTTCTAAAGAAACTGTTTGGGGCTGCGTCTGTGGGGGTAACGAAATAACTTGAATATATCAACAAAGTTGAAATGGTGAATTGGCCACCGTTATGATTATAGAAGCTGACGTTTCTAGCCCTTCGTCGGAACGAATAGAGGAATTGTGGGTTGTGTGTGTTCTTAAAGGCATTCTGAGCAACATATTGCAATCTGCGGTCTTTCCTTTCACTTAGGTAGCACGGAAAGCCGTAAAACTCTTGAACAAAAGCTCATCTCTCAAACCGGCAGTCTAAATCCCACAGGTATAAACGAACGCTTTTCATTCCACCAATTTATTCGTGTTTTTCTCGTTGCCATGTTCCCACCAATCACGTGACTCCATTTAACTGCCTTTAAAAGCACACACAACCCACAATTCCTCTATTCGCTCTGACGAAGGGCTAACGCTCGAAACGTCAGCTTCTATAATCGTAACGGTGGCCAATTTACCATTTCAACTTTGTTGATATATTCAAATTATTTTTAATCAATGTTTGATGCTATTTGCATTTATTTTACATTGGAAAATTATCTAGATAATGTAAAGTCTGTACTACAAACAAGTCCTCGATGCGGGCAGATTAATGGCGACAACAAATATAATAGGAGGTGAAACACAGTTTAGTTTTAAGGAATTGGCTTTATCCACCTCTTTGTTAAATGAGTTGTATTAACCATCTAATTCTTTTACAGCAGTGCACATTCTCCTCTCCGTCACAGCATTTCTTGGGAATTCTCTGATCCTTGTTGCCCTTAACAAGGAAACTTCCCTCCATCCACCGTCCAAACTCTTGTATCGTTGTCTGGCAACAACTGATCTGTTGGTTGGTCTTGTTGCCCAGCCTCTCTATGCTACCTGGATCTTCTTGGATCCCTGGACTCTTGAGGACTGGAAGATTTTCGCTTACGTACAGAACGCGACCAATATTACAGGCTATTTGTTAGGTGGAGTGTCTCTTTTGACGATGACGGCCATAAGCGTGGACAGACTTCTCGCCCTGTTGCTGGGGCTGAGATACAAACAAATCGTAACTTTGAAGCGCACATTTATCATTGTAGCTACCATTTGGGTTTCAACTCTTGTTGCTTCTGTATGTGTAATTTTTGATTACCATATAACCATTTTGTACAGCATCATATTTACAGCAATTTGCCTGGTTATCTCAATCACCTCATACATAAAAGTATTTTGCGTTCTTCATCACCATCACGCTCAAGTACAAGATCATTCTCAACAACAGCCGAGCCAACCAAATGCACTCAACACGGCGCGATACAGAAAGGCAGTTTACAGTGCACTATGGACGCAGTCAGCGTTAGTTGTTTGTTATGCACCTCATTTTGTGCTGCGAATTATAGTCAGGCATAGTAAGACATATCCATTGCACTTACAGGTCATTGGGGAAATAGCAGTGGTCTTAGTTTACTTTAACTCGACGTTAAACCCGTTTCTTTACTGTTGGAAGATCAGTGAAGTGCGACGAGCAGTAAAGCAGACAGTCAGGCAAGCACTTTGCTATACTTGGGGATAGATCCCTTCTGCGTTGCAGTCGTATTTAGAAACTTTAGAAGCTGACTTTTATAGCCAATAAAGATTTAGAAATGCAAAGACTAGCAAAAACTAACGATAAAAACCGACGTTTCGGTGTCATCATGACGCCATTGTCAAGGAGAAATAAAAAATGAAGTTTGTGGCAAGGTGTAACACTAAATTAGCATAAATATGTTACGAGCTAATTAAACAAATACTTTTGCGCGAATTGAATCGCTTTGCACGTTCAGAGTGGGTTTTAAGTCTCTGATGAAAAGCATTTCGTTCACCAAACAATCGAACTTGTTACTACACTTTTTCAGAATGCTAAAACGTTTCAGTAGGTCTTTCGGGACTTCGCTGTGCCGTTCGTGGTAGTGTTTATATATTGAAGATGCCTTTCGTTTATGTCCATCCACGCGTGTGTGTAAGTGTCCGCGTGTATAGCCCACATAACCCGCATCACACAGGTCACATTGAAATTGATAAACGACGCGTTGTTGGTTGACAATCTGTGGCTTGATTTCTCGTACTTTAAGATCTTGGCCAACTTTGCGGCTAACAAATACTGGCTGGACAGTTGTCTGCACCTTCATGCTAAGATTCTTGAGCTCTTTCTTAACATAATTTGCTGATTCCTGATCTTTGAAAGGTATGACCACACGAACAATGGATATTGGTTCTTTGGGCGTCTGTGTGGGCTGCGTACCAACAATTCTTGATTGTAAGAAGGTGTTAATGGTAGAATTTACCAGGCGTTCCGGGTATTTAAGCCGTGCGAAAACTTTCTTTAGGCGATCACACTCATCAGAGAAATGGGCCCAGGAGGAAGATAATCGGTGTGCGCGATCCAGCATAGTTTTCAGCAAGCTCCGTTTGTAGCGATTGTCTACATGGCTTTGGTAGTGTAATAGTAGGCCCGTGTTTGTTGGTTTCACATATACCTTGGTTTCAATCCGAGGTGCATGGTTGAGTAGTTCGGTGCCAAGGAAAGGAAGCTTGCTGTTCTTCTCCACCTCCATGGTGAATTTGACCGAAGTGTGGGCGCTGTTGAGGGTATGCAAGAAGGTAGTTGCTGTTGCTAGATCAGGCATTACAGTGAGTGTATCATCAACATATCGACGATAATAGGATGGGAGTTTTCTTTGTCGCTCAAGGGTATCTTCGATGGATGACATGAAGACGTTTGCTAATAAGGGCCCGAGAGGGGACCCCATAGCAACGCCATCTGTCTGTTCGTATAGAGCTCCGTTAAATTGAAA